ATCTATAAATATATATATTATTAATTTTCTAATATTCAATTAAATACTTAGTATTTTTAATAAAAAAGGAAAAATAAAAAATAAATGGTTTATTATATGATAAATTCGAAAATTGTGAAAGAAGAGTAATTAAATTAATGGTGGAGTAACGTGGGTTATGATTTAACAAGTGACAGGGAGGCCACGTGGCTTGATTCCCACCAAACAGCCTGTTAATAGTGATTTTTAGTACTTTTGGAAGGCCATTTAATTTCCATTTTCTATTTTTAAAAATAATTAAATAAAAGAAAATGCATTCCATTATTCGATTTATAATTATAAATAATAAATTAATTAATGGAATATGTCCACCTTCTAAAATTAAACTCTACAGAAACTGTGTATCACAAATCACCCATACTACGTGGGAACCAACTTCTTCAATAATTATATTCCTTTTGCATTATTCATTTTTACATAAATTATATAATAATAAATAATAATAACAAAAAAAAAATACGTGAAAAAGATAACAATAATGAAAAACTGAGAAATACTCTTATAATCGTTTATATGTATGGTATGTACATGGACAAACAGATTATTGGAGGTGTTTCATGGTCATAATTAGAGGTGCTCAAAAGCCCGTATCAACCCAATTCAATCCAACGTGAAATAACTCAATTCGAAGTAATCCGATGTTAATTCGAAGTAATCCGATGTATAATCGAGTTGTAAAATTTTCAAACGGTACGTATTGGGTTACTATTATTTGAACCCAACTTAACCCGATGAACCCGATATCCTTATGTTTGTTGGATTTAATATAATTGTTGAATTTCTATTAATATATATTAGACAATTACACTTTCATGTATGTTATTTATATTCACATATTTTTAATTTATTCAAATCTATATATACGTATATATGTTTAGTAACTGTGAACATATGTAAATTGAGAAAATTAATTAAATGTAATACACGTAAGAAGTATGGATAAGTTGTATCAAATGGTTGATATTGAAAAAGAAATTACGAGTAAAGAAATAATATATTCAAGGTTAGAAAAATATTTTAATGTACTAAAGTATCAACGCGACTAACCCGACCAATCCGTACGATTTGGGTTGGGTTGGATTGCACTTTGGTTTGAGTTTTGTTGGGTTAAGATTTTTCAAATCGCAAGCATTGAGTTGAGTTGTTCAAATGTCTTCAACCTGATCAACTCAACCCATGAACACCCTTAGTCATAATACATTTATGCATATTATGTACAAATGTATAAAAAAAAAAATTACTTGTATGTACATATACATACCATACAAATAAACGATTACCGGATGATGGGAAGGTGGAAGGTGGAAGGTGTGTAGTTCTAGAAATGGAGGTATAGGACTCCCTGACACAAACGATGTCGTTTAGTGTCACAATTATATTGGACTCTAATATCTTCCATAGTCCTTTATTACTACCCCCTATTCCCATACATACACACACTTAAGTTGTGTACCCATAAAAGAGGATCTGATACTTTATTATAAATCAACAATAACAAATTTATGTAATTTTAAAAAACATATTTTGTAACGTTTAAACTGGTTGAATCAAATTAAACAAACCGTTTTTACCGGTTTCACGGAAGTTTGGTCCGTTCTATGGTTTGAATGTTCTTTTGAACGGTTTGGATTGAACCGACCATCAAAATACACATGTATTAATTACATTTAGTTTTTGTGTTGTATGTTTAACTTTTATAATTTAATTTAAAAAAAATTCGTCGAAAACATTAAAATATTTGTTTCACTTCTCAATTGTCCGTGTTTTTAATTTGACAAAATTCTGAAATCCGTCAAAAAATCAAAATTTAAAATCATTTTTCGACTTGCTCAATGTTTGTCCAAAATCCTAACCATGGACGGACCTATGTATGTGGTGTAGGTGGCATGTGCCACCATATTATTTCTCCGCCGGTAAAAAAAATTAGGTTTCGTGAACGATGCAACCGTATTAATTTGTTGTGTGCCACCGTATATATTTTGAATCTACAACGAAAACAAGTTTTATCTGGTATAGTTAGTTGGCAAGACTTTTATTCCACCCCACACCCAAGTCCGAATCATGTTAGTGTCATTTTCTTAGTCAAACAGTGCCACTGTTTGAAAAATTTTCGTATATTTGTTTCTTATAGTCAAACGTGTCACCGTTTAAAAAAAATTCTATGTTTTCTTTTCTTATGGTCAAATGGTGCCACCGTTAAAAAAAGAAAATCTGGGTCCGTCCCTGATCCTAACTATTGTTGGTGGACTTGTTTATTTTTTTTCAATTTGCTAAATGTTTTTTTATAATTCGATATAATATGTTTTTTTAATAATGTTATATTGGTAGAAATTTCATTTAAAACTCATTACAAGCTTAAATCGCTTAAACTGGTCAAATTAAACCAACTTTTTGTGGTCTAATTTGACCGACTTGGTTGTCAATTTTATGTCCTAACGTCTGTTTTCTTTCCATGGAATCAATAAAAACACTATTGGGGGCATGATCGTGCTCGTTATGAAGAAAATGGAGGTTCCAACAACATATATGAAGAAATGGTACAAGTCTAACCGTTGTGAGACTTTTAAAACTTGCCCTTGAACGTAGTCGAGCCGGGCAGTGGCGGATGCATGTAGAAGTGGTTGAGGGTCCTGGGCCCCCAACAAAATAAAGTCTATAAAGCCCATAAAATTTTATTTTACTTATAATTTTTACCTTTATATGATTGGGCCCCAATAAAATAATCATGAGACCCCACTACCAAGTCCATAATTCATTTAGCCTTCCATTTCCAAGTTCTACGAGGCCACGACTTCACCTTCATCCAAGTTCCACGGCTGTTGGCACCTGGTTGTACATCGCCATTGCTTCTTCCTGGTTCCTGCTTTCGCCTTCCTGCACATCGCTACAGCGACTGCTCGGCTGCTCCCTCCCTCTTCCCTCTTCCTGCTTCTTCCTTGCTTCCTGGACAGTAGTGCACCGTGACCATGCACTGCCCACTGTTTGTTTGTTTCCTGTGGCTACTCCAATTTGGGTAAAAAGCTAAAGTTTTGATTTCCAATATTTAATTTTTAATGACTTTGATTTTGTTGTTTGCTTCACAATTGGTGATTTGGTGAATGCTTTTGTTAGGTTAATTTTGCAATTTTGTAGACAAAAGGAAATGTTATGTTGATTTTGCAATTTTGTAGCCAAATGGAAATGTTAAGTTAATTTTGCAATTTCGTAGGCAAATGGAAATGTTACTATTGATAAAGATAAACCATTGATTTTTATATTGTTATTATTATTGCTAGAAAAAATGGAAAGATTTTTTAAAAAGGAAAACATCAACACCTGAATCAAGCTCTACTCCTTCGATGCTTACGAAATTGATTTGAACGATCTTCCTTGGGATCCAGCCAATAGGAAAAAGATTTTGGAGTATTTTATCTTATACCATATACCCCCTACAATATATTTTTCTGTATCCGCCACTGGAGACGGGTAGAGATTGTCCTAGAGTGTCGAGTCCATAGAATGATATATCTTGCTCTGATACCATATAAAAATATACGTAAAGCCTCGTTAGACAAAAACACATACAAATTTGAATAAAATTACAATATTCAAAAAATTATTGGGAAAATACCAAGGAAATTAAAACCAACCAAGACCTACCAAACCCGTAACATGCTACGCTCAACCTTGGTTCAAATGAACCATGTTACGAGTCCTCATGGACCGACTCATATCCTTGTATGTTCAAAAAAGAACAAGAATTTGGAGATGGTTCGGGCCACCATACCCAAGTGGTGAAACCAAGCGAAACATCCATGTGGTTCGAACCCTTTCGTTTCAGTTCGACCCAATCCACAAAACTTCGTTTCATACGGTTCAAGATTTCAACAAGAAACTTGCCGAAATTGTAAAGAAAGCATACACATATACTAACGAGTTAGGACCGTCCCCAATAGATATAAAAAGGGATTTTTCAAGTTATCGTCCTTTGGTTAAACGACCTTTTGTCATAGTGACGAACCCAAAAAAGATTTTAAACGGTAACACAATTTGACTATATATATATATATTCACAAGATCTGTATAGATTTGTTGGTTGGTCTTGTTCTAGAACAAAAAGAATCCATGTTCAAGTCCCGTTTTCAGATTCTTTTAAAAACATAAAACGTATATAAAAACACCAAATTTTAGCTGAAAACTAAGATATTTGACAAAAGTGGTACTCGAACACGGGGACTTTTGTACAAAAACAACAACGTTTACAAACTCCACCGTAAAAGACTTATGCCAATAGTTTAGACCTTATAACAGGTTTGAGAATAATATTCCCGTACAAAAGATTGTCCGAAAAACCTGTCAGAAAAGTTCATGGATTTAAAAAGCAGTTGTCAGGGACTCGATAAATCGGGTTCAAATTTATCCCATATGAAGGTACCAGCTTGGGAGGCATAAGACACACCATCTTCCATAGTTTCCCATGGTGGCTCAGTACCATATTCAGATAAGCTTTCGTTCGGTTCGAAACCATTCAGAACTTGATCTTTACTGGACCCTGGTTCGGACCCGTAACTGTTGTTGAACAAAGATGGTTGTGAAGATTTGGGGTTCGACATTGACGGTGAAGACGGAAGCGTGATCGTTTGTTTTTGATCGTTGACGAGAAGATGCGGGAAATTGAGACGGGCTTGGTGTCCTCTTAACTTGAAAGCCTCAAGATCATATGCCAAAGCGGCTTCAACCGCGGTATCAAACGTACCCAACCAACGTCTGCTCCTGCTACGAGGGAGACGGATCTCTCCGACCCATTTACCCCATTGGCGTTGCCTCACCCCTCGATACAGCTTACCCGGAGGCTGCCGCGGGTCCATTTCCTTGTTGTCTGGTGTAAAAGAGATCATCTGTCGCTTCTTTGACGGGGTCGGGATTTCAAGATTCACAGATGACTGCAGGTTGTGATCATCGAGAGAAAATGGGAACGAGAATCTCGATTCTTGCTTTCTGATCTTCGTACCAAAGAAAAAGGCCGAATCTTGAACCGGAGTCCATGGTTGCTTGCCCTTGTTCTTACCATGATCTGCAACCTGTTCCATAGTTGTGTTAGAAGAGTAGGAAAGTCACAAGATTTAAGCACCCTTTGGAGGCGAAGGAAATAAACGTAGGCATGCTGAATAGTTGGTAAAGATGTCACTCTCGAGGACTTACGACTTTCTTGCAGATTGAGATGGGGATTCTTTATTATGACTTGATGTTCAGCACTCAGGATGATGTAACCATATGACACCACACCCAAACAGTCACTAAACAAACACCACATCTTTTTAGGTATCTACAGTTGATGACACACAGGTATCGGTGAAGTTCGATGGTCATGTGTCTACGTCCCAACTTAACCATCAATACTTTTACTTGACGTGCATGTCTAGGCCACATGTGATGCAATCAACTGATGCTAACTTGGAAAACAACATGCTTAAGGGGATTAGGCTGCTAGTCCAAAGAGCTGCTCGAATGACATTGGGCAGTTGAGAAACGAGTAGTCATTGCGAATGAGCAAGTAGGGGGCGGCAAATCAGTTGACGGAGCGGCCAAGGACGAATGAGTTATACAGAGGTGTGAATAGATTGAAAATATGTGTATATGAAGAGCATACATGATAGTGTAATTGTCTAACATATATATTAATAGAAATTCAACAATCATATTAAATCCAAGAAATAAAAGTTCATCGGGTTGGGTTGAGTTCAAATCATAGTAACCCAATACCTACAGTTTGACAATTTTACAACTCGATTAGACATCAGTTTGTTTCGGGTTGAGTTATTTCGCGTTGGGTTGGATTGGTTGGGTTTTTGAAGACCCCTTTACTAATGTAATATGCTTAAAGCCTATTATCGAGTTTGGCTGTTGGTACCTAAGTATAAAAAACGGCACACATAATTATAACATACGAGTCAAACTATGTTTTTACAACGGTCAAAATATGAAATTGTAATTTGAAATAACGGTTATCACAATGGTAAACCAATGGTATAACGATCCCAAAATAACGGGTCATATAATAATTAGAATTAATTGGGTTGCATTGGTTGTACAAATGAACATGGTTGCATTTGATATATACCACATATATATATATATATATATATATCTATATCTCAACATATTTTATGTATTTAATTATAAAATATATAAGAATAATGATGTCCAAGTCCAAATAAAAATAATCCGAAAACAACATAAATTATAGATTTATATGTAAAAAAGAATATAAATCATAATTTAAAATAAAATAATATGAACATCTAAGAATGGTCTTTACAGGTTTATAGCATTTACGTGGTTTTCAGATCTCTTAAATAATCCGATATTTTTTGTGTTGAATAAATACAATTGTATAGTCAAAAAAGATTTTTTTTATTTAAACAAAATATCTCGTTTTAAAGAACGATATATAAAAAAATCCAACCGTACAAGATATCAAACTTTAAAATCCCGTTGTCATCTCTGAGCGTCATTTTCTCCCTCTACATCTTTGTCGATGAAACCAGTGTCGTAGTCATTAGTCTGTTAGCGATGGTGATTAAATGTGGATTGACAGGGAAAACAGATGTTTATATCAAACTATGGAGAAATATTACGAGCGAGACCATCTTTACTGTTATCTCTTACAGACAGTAAAACATCAAATCATTTCATTTCAGATATATGCACTACACTTTCAAGTTCCCTGTTCACGTATAAAACATGTAAATTGTAATACGACTTCTAAAAATCATGTCGACGACTTTTGAATGGTCTAAAACTTCTGTAAAACACCGAGATCTCGACTTCTATGAGTCTGGGTACATACAGATCTTCTAAGTACTTATGATAACACCTTGTTGTAAAGTATAAAATGTTATTTATAGCATGATATACTATTTGTGTTGGGACAGGGATACATATGCTATTTTATTATAATCTTACGGCCTTAAGAATTATACAGGTTTTGTCATATTGTATTAATGACTTCAACATTACATTAACTTCATCACAGTCGTACCTCTTTATACCTTTTTCATATAGCAGCTTCAAAACTGATGGGATCTAGGTATTGTATTTCTACAACACTATATGGTAACACATGCAAGTATACATGTGTCAACACTATCACCTTCAAGTAATAAAATGGTAAGAACCAAGTATCGTATTCTATAAGGATATGTATCTTAAGTTGCAAGATATCGAGTTGAAAGACTAACTTCAGATGACGGATTTGAAAACTTTGATTGAATATGAGTTATTAATTGCAAATAACATAATAAATAAAGGTAGCATGAGTGTATGACTTTTGGTGAGACATAAACACAAATTTCAATGGACAAGCAGTCAGCCATAACTAGTTTCACCATCTATTTTGAGGGATTCCTCTCAGACTTCCACCATTACACTATATTATAGTTTTCAGCCTATATTTCTATGTGGTATCAGGACCAGAGATAATGATGAACGGTGTTATCAAAATACATGGATAAATAAATCTTTTTGTTAAAAATCACTCTCTCGAGCCAATTTTCATATCGTTCAAGTTGGCGTGTGTTCTATGTAGTTCATCTCTGAATCTACCGCACTTTAACACTTTAACATGTGACCAACCTGTCGAGAATTAATTAGTTTGAAAGATATAAATGACAAGTCTCCTTGTCGGCAAGTCTACCTGTCATATCATTTAAGTTGACGTGCATTTAATGGTTTATCTCTAAGACCATGACACTTTAACACTTTCAAAGTGTTCAACTTGTCAAGAAAATGTCATTGATTTTTATAAAACTTAAATGAAATAGTAGAACGTTGTTATTGCAAAACGTCTCATTTCCTTCGGTTTAAAATCTCACCATTTGTCTCACACCCAAACTATGGAATTAGCTACTCATAAGGAAAGTAATGACAAGGAAAGTAAATAACGAAAAATAAAGACATAAATATAAATTACGGAAAGTAATTGACTTAATGTAAAGAGCGAAAAGTAAAGAACAAACTTAAAAGTAATTACGAAACTTAAACTGCTTCAAAGTCTAAAGAGAGAAATCAGTTTTGGAACTAATTTTAGGATTAAAAAAATACAAGAACCCAACCCCCCTATTTATACAAAAATAGGGCACAAAAAGACAAAAATATTATCTAGTGGGTAAAGTATCAAAAGTCAACACACCAAGTACACTTAAAGTAACTAGATTGTGACATAATTCTAACAAGAGTTTAACAATCTTTAATATCAAAAGTCTTCGGTTCTAGGGCTTTTAGAAACAAAAAGGATTAAACATCTTAACTCATTAATCCCTTCAAAAAGCCGAATTCCATCAGATCCCTGCTGCTGAAATGCTGCAGCATCAAACAATTCCACATTTTTTTTTTCATTTTAGTCTTCTAATGATATAAAAGACAAGTAAATCACACATTTAACTCCATAATTAATAAGGGAAAAATGAAATAATAAAATTACTCAAGATTGAGATAAAAGAAAAATAAACTAGCTAAAAACTATAAAATAAGTGCTTTGTACATTGAATTCTCAATGTACATCAAAAACACATTTTAAACACCATTTGAGGTGAAAGTCAGTTAAAATACATCTTTGATTTTCTTATATAGTTGTATCAGCTTTCACTGTACACCTAACAGTCTAATTTGTACCAGTGTAGGGCTATTGATCTTTTGGGTCAGTACTTAGTCCTATGCCTCCACTATACATCTAATTTCAATAAGTGTACTTCTACACTTACGTTCTGAACGTAATCCCCTGTCTATTCCTTAAATATAAATCGTATAATATTTTCTTTCTCTATTTTATCATCTCATATGTCAATATTTTATATTAACTTCATGTATATCTTTATGGGTATTACAGTTGTTCGTAAGCTCAAAACCTGGTCCTGGTCAGATCTCAGAGTTCGACCGGGTCGAAATTTTAAGGGCAGGACTAGACCTAAACCCAATTTAAAAAAGTTCAGTTAAACCTAAAAGAATTTGATGAACCCAAAAAAACTCATTTGAAAAACCTGATCGGGCTCTTTTCAACCCTAAACCTATCCCAAGCCTACAATAAGCCTACGTCTTTTTTTTACTATTGAAACTTGAAAGCGGGCTAAAAAGCCCAGGCCCAGATCCAAAAGCCCGAGCCTTGTACATCTTTACCTTTTTACATAGAAAAAATATTTGAAACTATCGAAATGCATAATGAACGTTTTTTTCTTAAATTTAACATTTATCATAAAATGTAATGTTTTTCAAATCTGTTTCAAATCATTTTTGGGGTTATCTCATTTTTGGAGAAAAAAGCGTTTAATTTCCTACTTTTTTTTTTATTTTGGAGATACTTTTGGGAACCGGTTGGAGCTTAATTTTAGTTCAAATTCTCCATTTTGGAGGATCTGTTGGAGATGCTCTTAAAATACTTGACAGATCCAGTTTGGTTAACAATATAACTAAAACAGTTTAGAAAATGTTTGGCCTGGTTTATACCAGTTCGATTTTGATAAGGTAAGGATTGATTAAAGATTGATGGTCTAGTTTACTCTGATATGATTTTCTAATTTTTATAAGATTTTTAATACATGTTTAATAATTATTTAATTACTATTACGTATAGAGGTCTTCTTTTTGAGAACACATGAAATTGTGATAGTTTTGAGAATTGATGCATCATGTGCTATTTCACATGATTTTTTTCATCTATGTCTTGGATTTAGTGTATTGATTAACATATATTTGTTTCACAATGTGAACACTTTTTATGTGTTTGTGAAACAAAAAAATTTCACATTATGAAACAAATACTTATGAAACAAACACATTTGAAACAAATATATGTTAATCAATATATTAATCCAAGCCATATATGAAAAAAATACCACGTGAAATAGGAGATGATGCACCGTTCTCAAAGTTATCACGATTTATTGGGTTCTCAAATGAAGGGTTGGATTCTGATGAGAATAATAGTTAAGGTGAGAAACGTAAAAAGTGATCTCCACCTTAGAATGAGATGCATCGAGAAGGATATTAGGATAAGATGCATTGAGATTCACCGAACCAATCCCCATATCAAACG